CCAGAGCTGAGCTCGCATGCCCACCAATATGGCGAGGTGTGCCACTTGTGGCACGCGTGCTACAGGTTCGCTGTCACAGCGATAGACTCTCAACTCTCAACCTTGAACTAAGGAGAAACTTCCTGACAGTGAGAACAATGAATCAGTAGAACAGCTTGCTTCCAGAAGTTGTTGGTGCTCCACAGGAGTGGGATTCAGAAATTTTAGCAACCGGTTCTCTGCCCGGTTGCTGCGTGGGCATGGCCATGGTGGGCGTGGCCTACTCGGCCTCCTGCACCACGGTGTGTGTGTGTGTGTGTGTGTGTGTGTGTGTGTTTTCACTCTCCCCAAGCTCTGGAGGTTTTCCTCAAGTCTCCAGGAGGGCGAAAATGGCCTCCCCCAGGCTCCGGAGGCTGGAAATGGGCCTGTTTGTGGATTTCTGGAACTTCCCGGAGGCCCATTTTTCGTCCTCCTAGAGCCTCCGCGTGGATGCTGCACTTACCTGGCATCCAAAACAAGCCATGTGGAGACTCCTGGGAGGGGTGGGGAGGGGTGGGAGGGGAGGGGCCAGCCAGTCCTTGCAACTACCGGTTCATCGAACCAGATGTAAAATTAGCATCTGGTTCACCTGAATTGGTCCAAACTGGCTGAATCCTACCCCTGGTTTTCCATCACTGGAGGCTTTTAAGAAGAAACTGGACAGCTATTTGTCGGAAATGGTATAGGGTTTCCTGCTTGAGGGAAAGGGGGGGTTGGATTAGAAGACCTCCAAGGTCCCTCCCAACTTTGTTATTCTGTTACGTATGTTACTCTGTTAATTCTATGATCACATGTATCCATCCTATCAAGTCCAATGAAAGTCCTGGATGATATAGGATCTCCTGCCATGGACAGGGAGTTGGACTAAAAGACCTCCAAAGTCCCTTCCAACCCTATTATTTGATGCTCTCCATACCCTTAAAGTACACTTGAAGGCCATTCTTTATATTTGGCACTCAACAAGTTTATGCCAAAGTCATTCTTTGAGGTGGAAAGGGTTGTGCAGAAATTTGAGAGTGGGATCTACCTCCCCATGATAATACACCGTGTTGAATCAGGCAGTTTGATTCTTTTTGTGGATGAGAAGTTTGAGAAGGTTGGGTGTTTGCCCAGTCCAGAAGGGGTGAAGCCTCCTTCTAAAGATCGTTCAGTCTTATTCCATTCGGATTCTTATTGAAAGGTTTTGTCATCACATTGTCTGTCTGAAGAAAGGTTTACTTGCAGTTGTGACAGTCATTGTGATTTTTTTTAATGCCTGCACAAAAGACATCTGTATCAGTGGTGGGATTCAAAATTTTTTACTACTGGTTCTGTGGGCGTGGCTTGGTGGGCATGGCTTGGTGGGCATGGCAGGGGAAGGATACTATAAAATCTCCATTCCCACCCCATTCCAGAGAAAGGATACTGCAAAATCCCCATTCCCTCCCCACTCCAGGGAAGGTTACTGCAAAATCCCCATTTTTTTTAAAATTTGATTTATATGCCGCCCTTCTCCGGAGACTCAGGGCGGCTTACAATGCGTTAAGCAATAGCCTTCATCCTTTTGTATATTTATACAAAGTCAGTTTATTGCCCCCACAAACTGGGTCCTCAATTTACCTACCTTAGAAAGGATGGAAGGCTGAGTCAACCTTGAGCCTTGGAGAGATTCGAACCAGCAGTAATTGCAGGCAGCTGTGTTAATAACAGGGTGCTTAGACCACTGTACTATCAAGGCTCTTTTCCTCCCAATCAGCTGGGACTCGGGAGGCAGAGAATAGATGAGGGCGGGGCCAGTTGGAGGTGGTATTTACAAGTTCTCTGAACTACTCACAGTTTCCGCTACCAGTTCTCCAGAACTGGTCACAACCTGCTGAAACCCACCTCTGATCTGTATCCTACAAGCTGTATCCAAAAAGCTATCACTAACTGAATTGTAGTATTTAATATACCACAAGGGTAAGCCGTTGGAAAAACAAAGTAACAAGGAAAGACTCATACTGTATTCACTGTATTTAATGTATGTCCACTACATGTCAATGAAATCATGTTTAGTTTTGGGTGGGCTCTGCTCATTTGGGAAGCTGAGGTCCGCCCCACTCTGCCTCACCGTTATGGGTCCATTATGGGTCTCAGCTCCAAAAAAAGTGGTACTTCCTTGATTTAGCTCAGTCTTTCTCAACCTAAAGGCAACTTTAAGATCTGTGGACTCGGCTCGGGATGGGTTTCAAAAATTTTAGCAAGGGGTTCTCTGCTTGGTTGCTGGATGGGCGTGGCCATGATGGGTGAGGTCCAGTCAGCTTCCTGCATCATGGCGGGGGGGCATTTTTGCCCTCCCTGGGCTCCGGAGGTTTTTCTCGAGCCTCCGGGAGGGCAAAAATGGCCTCCCCAGGCTCTGGAGGAACATCCGGTCGGCCCATTTTTCACCCTCCCCAAGTCTCTGTGCGTGCCCTCCACTTACCTGCATCCAAAATGGGCCGCGTGGGAGGGGAGGGGCAGGCGGGGCCAGCCAGGAGTGGGATTTGGGGGTTCTCTGAACTGCACAAAATCTTAGCTAGGGGTTCTCCCGAACCCCCACTCCTGACTCGGCTAGCTGGGGAATTCTGGGAGTTGAAGTCCACACATCTTAGAGGTTGCCAAGTTTGAGAAACGCTGAGATCATGAAAGAAAGTTCAAGAGCTAGCGAGCTAAGAACACCGCGATTCTGGGATTCCCGCTTTCGTTTTTCACAAACCGAAGAAGGTACTCCACTTTCCCTCCCCAGAAACCGTTGGAGAACTTCTGTGTTACAGGAAACATGATAAGATCCATTTGTAGGTGGATTTTCCTTGTCCTCCATCCCCACCAGAGACCGTCAACAGTAGTGCTTCGAATAGCATCATGAGCCGAGCTGCTGCCGCCACTGACAGCAGATCTGTTTAAGGTGCCCCCCCAGGGCTCTTTCTTCTGATGGTGGGTAATGGGTGTGTGAGGGCTGTCACCAACTAAGGCTTGCCAAAATGTTTTTTTACTAGCACGCCGTGTTCTACCCCGTTGCAACCTGGTGCCAAACACATCTGTTTTGGAATTAAAGAGCATTGAGACTGAAGCATTGTTTGGAGAACCAGAGCTAAATCTTGGCCTTGCCAGGCAGAATCCAGTCCTGATTAGCAGAAGCGTTCTTCATTTTAGAGCATAATTTAGAGCAGGACATGCCAGAAGGCAGAGGGGAGTGCCATTTTGTCACAGCTAGTTAGAGTTGGGAACCACGAAACGTCGTCCACAAGGGTGAGCTTCAAAAATTTTAGCAAGGGGTTCTCTGCCCGGTTGCTGGGTGGGCGTGACCATGGTGGGTGTGGCCTAGTCGGCCTCCTGCACCACAGCTGGGGGGGCATTTTTGCCCTCCCCAGGCTCCGGAGGTTTTCTTTGATCCTCCGGGAGGACGAAAATGGCCTCCCCAGGCTCTGGAGGCCCTCTGGACTGCACTTACCTGCATCCAAAATGGGCTGCATGGTGACTCCTGGGAGGGGATGGGTGGGATGGGCAGGGCCAGCCAGGAGTGGGATTTGGGGGTTCTCTGAACTGCACAGAATCTTAGCTAGAGGTTCTCCCAAACCCCTGCGAACCCCCAGCAGCCCACGCTTGGTTGTTCATTTTCTAGGTTAGCCACAGAGTTCTCCATCTGTGCTTGAATACATCCTGGAATTCGGAAGAGTCAGAGAGCTGGGGAGATATATAGTAGTAAACAAGGACCAGTAGTAGACCAGAAGACAATGGTGATGATAGACATAGCAGACAGCAACATTGGGAACATGAGAAACCGAAGAAGTAGGGACCGAAGAAGGAACTAGAGAGGATTTGGCAAGTCAAGGCCAAAGTGGTCCTAGTGATGGTAGGAGCACTAGATTCCTTAGCTGGGAGAGGAGCTCCAATAGATCCCAGGAACAACCTCAGAGCTCTGCCCAGAAAAGTGTAGAGCTAGGAAGAACTAAGTCACTGTGTAGAATCCTCCAACTTCCAGGCCTCTGGCGGAGGACCTGAGATTGAGAAAGATACAGATCACATTTAAGGGTGAGAAAGAAATTAGATAGACAGATAGACAGATGAATAGACAGATAGATAGAAATATAAATAGATAGATGGATGGATGGATGGATGGATGCAGAGGTGAGTTTCAGCAGGTTCTGACCAGTTGTGAAGAACTGGTAGCAGAAACTTTGAGTAGTTCGGAGAACCGGTAGTAAAAAATCTGAGTGGCCCCACCCCTATCTATTCTCTGCCTCCCGAGTCCCAGCTGATTGGGAGGAAATGGGGATTTTGCAGTAACTTTCCCCTGGAGTGGGGAGGGAATGGAGATTTTACAGTATCCTTCCCCTGCCACGCCCACCAAGCCAAGCCCACAGAACTGGTAGTAAAAAAATTTTGAATCCCACCACTGGATGGATGGATGGATGGATGGATGGATGGATGGATATGATAAAAGATAGATAGAAGATAGATAGACAGACAGACAGAGATAGATAGGTGATAGATGATAGCTAGAGATGATAGACAGACAGACATATAGTTAGATGTAGATAAATAGATAGATGATAGATATGATAGATAGATTTCAGAATCTATCTATCTATCTATCTATCTATCTATCTATCTATCTATCTATCTATCTATCTATCTATCTATCTATCTATCGGACGGACAGACAGACAGAGAGACAGACAGAGAGACAGACAGACAGACAGTCACATGGAGAAGGAGGGAGTCATGCTGGCCCAGAGTTGATCTGAGCTTTCTTCTTCCATATTCCTTTAACGAAGTGGTCCGGGAGACCTTTTCCTTCACTTTGCTCCTTGTTAAAGGTTTGTCCTTATCATGTTATTCTTAATAAACATTAAAACAAACAAACAAACAAACAAAAAACTCCCCGAAAACCTCCCTGTGCTCAAAGACACATCCATCTCGCCCCAACCCCCACCCCTCATCGCCCATTCCCCCCCAAAAAAAGAACCTTTTTTCAAAATATACACTATACAGAGGTGAATCCACCCATTCATAGGTTATGTATATGTACAGAGTCTTTCGGAAGAGTCCAGGCAACCCACAGGCACAAGGGGGAAGGAGGTGTGCATATAACAGACGTGAGGTCGAACCAATCACGGTTTCAAACACTTCCCCCTTTTCTCCCGCCTCTGGAGTTTCCGGAGGCGCCGAGTCCAGGCGTCCCGCCATTGGATAACCAAGCTGTTCTTGTCAGCCATTAGTCCTGGCCGGTCGCTGGGGTTTTCACTGATCCCCATGACTAGGTACTTCTTGCTAATTTGGATCTTGGGGCATTTGCAAGCCAGGTCTTTCATGTGGATCCATAAGAAGTTATCGCCCCGTTTCACACGTTCGTCCCGACACTTGTAGACCGAGAGGATGTTGACGGTGAATTTGGCCCAGTTGGCTACCGTCTCCATGTCTAAGACGTTGACTTGGACAACTGAAGGGAGAAAGAGAAGTCAAGGCAAATGGAAGTGTCAGGGTTCCAAGTAACACACCCAACGGAATCCAAACTCCAAGGCAGGCATTCTCCTCAAAGTATAGATGTCAGCTTACCCCCGAAGACAAGTTGACAGCGGAGCTAAAAGCGGCACTCTCCACTGATACCTGGTTCCACTTTGCTTGTCAGAAGGTTCGCCCAAGGGGATCCCATGACCCCGGGATGCTGCAATACTGTCATAAATAGAAGTCAGTTGCCAAGTGTCTGAATTTTGATCGTGTAATCATGGGGATGCTGCCGCAGTTATTAAGTGCGAAAAATGGTCATAAGTCACTTTTTTCCATGCCGTTGTAACTTGGGACAGTCACTAAATGAATGGATGCAAGTCAAGGACTATCTGTCCTAAGCTCAGCAAATTCTCAAGATGTTAGATTGCATCTCTCTCTCTCTCTCCCTCCCCCCTCTGTCTCTCTCTCTCTCTCTCTCTCTCTCTTTCTCTCTGTCTCTGTCTCTCTCTCTGTCTCTGTCTCTTTCTCTCTGCCTCTCTCTTTCTCTGTCTCTCTCTGTCTCTGTCTCTCTGTCTCTGTCTCTTTCTCTCTTTCTCTTTATGTCTCTTTCTCTCTTCTCTGTCTCTCTGTCTCTCTCTTTGTCTCTTTCTCTCTGTCTCTGTCTCTTTCTCTCTGTCTCTCTCTGTCTCTCTCTTTCTTCTCTCTCTCTCTTTTCTCTCCCACCCTAATTTTAAAGAGCCCCTTGTCTCTCCCTTTTTTTCAATCATGGATTTTTATACATTTGCTTTATCCCACCAAACAACCTGTGATAGGGGAAACCTCAACCGAAGGAACTTACTACCAAGAGTAATGGTACTCTTGGTACTTGGTACTTGGTAGTACAGTGTACTTGGTAGTACAGTGGTCCAAGGCACCCTGTTATTAAGCTGGTTATTAAGACCAGCTGCCTGCAATTACTGCAGGTTCGAATCTCGCCAAGGCTCAAGGTTGACTCTCCTTCCATCCTTTCTAAGGTAGGTAAATTAAGGACCCAGTTTGTGGGGGCAATAAGCTGACTTTGTATAAAATATACAAAAAGGATGAAGGCTATTGCTGAGCACATTGTAAGCCGCCCTGAGTTTCGGAGAAGGGCGGCATATAAATCAAATTTAAAAAAACAAAAACAAAAAAAAACATTTAAATGAAATGAATGAATAATAACTGATTGCAATGATCTCCAAGGATAATTGTCCCTTTGTAGAAAAAAAAAAAAAAGATTCCCCGCACCCCACCTCCTTCTTTCAGCTCTGCAGTTGCCACCAGGGACCCCTCTCAGCCCTTGGATAACTGTGGCAAATTCCCGTTCCCTTTCCACCTTGCCAAAAACATCTTTTCTCTTGGAACCAAAGGGCTCCTGGAGAAGATCAATCAAAACCTCGGCCTTTTTAGCCATTCTCCTTTTCTCCCCCCTCTCTGCTCTTTCTACTCAAGAGAGCCACTATGCTTATGTCTGGGTGATTAACAACCCACAGGCAGGATGCCCTGCGCCCCGACTCTGCGGACCTCCCATCCTATTCAAAATCTCCCTCTCTACCCCACACACCTTGCGGAAGAGAGAAAAATGTGCTTTTTAACATATTTGGCAGACAGGGAGGCTTTGGGGTGGAGAAAGGAAAAGGGCAGCACAATGTTTTTGGAGATTTGAGAAGGATTTCTCTCTCTCTTTCCCCACACCCGACCTCTTTCTTTCTAGTTCATTTCAAACTGGGGAAAAGAGGCCGAGATGGATGAGCATGGAGCGGGCCTGTTTTTTTTGGGGGGGGGGATGGCAGCGTCAAGCACGAGAGCTGTGGGGGAATTGAATTTAAGCTTCGTTGAGTAATCGCGAGTCAGAGTTCATTTAGACCAGGGATCCCCAACCGTGCGGACCTCAGGGACTATTAAATTCATAATTTTAAATCCTGCGGACCACTAATACGATCTGCCTAATGAGCGGCTGGGTGGGCGTGGCTAGGTGGTCATGTGACTGGGTGGGCGTGGCCAACTCCTTGCCTCCCCACCGGCTCCTTAGGACCCCAATAGGATGCAGTTGCTGGAGCATGAGAAAGAGTTGGCAAAACAGCTGGCTCTGTTCAAATTGGATCTGGCGAGAAGGAGGCTCAGTAGAAGAACCTCACTGAGGACTACACAGCATAGGCTTTCAAGAAGAGGGAAGATCTGGAATGAAAGGCCAGATACTGGTGCCTGGAGGCTCAGCGGGCTGAGATGGTCAGCCAGTTCCAGGCCATGATGCATTCCCACTGGAACAAGGCCCTCCGGCTCTTCGCCACCAGCGGCGCTTCCCTCCAGCCCCTAATCTACTACTCCAGCTCAAAGGAATTTCCCCCCTCCCATCCCATATCTAGGGGATATTATCTCCAGGGAAAATAAGTAGGTGAAAAGTCAAACGTCCCTTTCCAGACGCCCCGCTTCTCCTTCTTATGTCAGCACTAGAGTAAATGCAGCTTGAAGTGCTGACACTCCCCCCACGACGATGTCAAACACAACCCTGATGCGGCCCTCAATGAAATTGAGTTTGACACCCCTGCCTTAGAGCATATGAAGAGTGTCTTCTGATCAAGGAAGCTATAACCAACATAGTCATATCATGGTTAAGGTTTCAGATTGGGAGTTCACTAGATCTTTAGAGCAGCCCTCTCAATTCTGATTCCTAACCTTTGAAGGAAAGCCAGGTATACAGTATTGTCTAAGAGAGCATCTGATAGTATTCTGCACTACCATGACTATTAATTAAGTGATGTTTCAAAGTTACAACGGGCTGGAAAAAGTGACTTCGGACCAGTTTTCACACTTAAGACTCTTTTTTTTTTTTTTAATTTGATTTATATGCCGCCCTTCTCCGGAGACTCAGGGCGGCTTACAGTGCATTCAGCAATAGCCTTCATACTTTTGTATATTTATACAAAGTCAGCTTATTGCCCCCACACTGGGTCCTCATTGCAACATCTTGCAACATCCCCAAGTCAAAATTTGGACGCACGACAATTGACTCGTATTTATGACGGTTGCAGTGTCCCAGGGTCATGTGAGCCACTTTTGCGACCTTCTGACAAGCAAAGTCCATGGGGAAGTGAGGTTACTTAAGAACCGTGTTACTAATTTAACTGCAGTGATTCACTTAACGACTGTGCCGAGAAAGGTTGTAAAATGGCGGCAAACCTCACTCAACAGCTCTACCTGCTTAGCCATGGAAATGTTGGGCTCAATTGTGGTCCCAAGTCAAGGACTACCTGCAAATAAATAGTGCTGAAAACAAACAAACAAACAAGCTGAAACAGAGATAAGGAAATCCAGGATTCATACCAGGGGTGAAATCCAGCAGGTTCTGACAGGTTCTGGAGAACCGGTGGCGGAAATTTTGAGTAGTTCGGAGAACCGGCAAATACCACCAGTGGTTGGCCCCAGAGTGGGGTGGGAATGGAGTTTTTGCAATATCCTTCCCCCAGGAGTGGGGAGAGAATGGGGATTTTGCAATATCCTTCCCCCAGGAGTGGGGAGGGAATGGGGATTTTGCCGTATCCTTCCCCCAGGAGTGGGGAGGGAATGGGGATTTTGCAGTATTCCTTCCCCCAGGGTGGGGAGGGAATGGAGATTTTGCAATATCCTTCCCCCAGGAATGGGGAGAGAATGGGGATTTTGCAATATCCTTCTCCCAGGAGTGGGGAGGGAATGGGGATTTTGCAGTGTCCTTCCCCAGGAGTGGGGAGGGAATGGAGATTTTGCAATATCCTTCTCCCAGAGTGGGGAGGGAATGGGAATTTTGCAGTATCCTTCCCCTGCCACGCCCACCAAGCCACGCCCACTAGCCACGCCCACAGAACCGTAGTAAAAAAAAAATGAATTTCACCACTGATGAGAATCCTGGACTCCGAAGAAAAAGAGCACGTTCTTACCGTAGTCTTTCTTGCAGTACTTTTTCATGTTGATTTTGTAATTGCCCTTGGCTGGCTTGCAGTAGGAATCACAATCTGTGGGAAGAGGTGGGGAGAAGAACGCAGGACATGAGCAGGACAACAACTAGAAAGCAGGAAAAGAAGTTGCAACACACCACAACCACCACCAACAACCTTTGCAGGAGGGCTGCCTGAGTCAAACCACTCAGGCTAGATGAATTCAGAAGTTGGAACCAGCTGTTTGTAGGAAAACCGTAGCAGAAATTTCTGGCTCCCCCATGTCCAACTGAGCCGCGCGATCATCATCAACATTTCATTACCTGATTAGCTAACATCATCAGCAGGGGTGGGATTCAGCCGGTTCGGACCGGTTCGGGTGAAGCGGATGCTAATTTTACATCTGGTTTGCCGAACTGGTAGTTGCAAGGACTGGCTGGCCCTGCCCATCCCTCCCCTCCCCTCCCAGGAATCTTCATGCAGCCCGTTTTGGATGCCAGGTAAGTGCATTGCCCACATGAGGCTCTGGGAGGGTGAAAAATGGGCCTACTGGAAGTTCTGGAATTCCAGAAACGGGTCTGTTTCCTGCCTCTGGAAGGCCTCCAGAGAATGAGGGAAGCCGTTTTCACCCTCCCGGAGGCTCAAGAAAAACCTCCGGAGCCTGGGGAGGGTGAAAAAACTGGCCTCCCGGAACTCTGGAGATGGATCTGTTTCCGGCCTCTGGAGCCTGAGGGAGGCTCCAAGAAAGCCTCCGAAGCTTGGGGAAAGCGAAAACGCCTCCCCCCACATCGTGGTGCAGGAAGCTGAATAGGCCATGCCCATCATGGCCACACCCACCCAGCAACCAGGGAGAGAACCGGTTGCTAAAATGTTTGAATCTCATCCCTGATCGTCAGTGCTAGCTGTCTACCACATCAGTGCTAGATAACTGTGGCAGCCATCAGTGCGACCAGGGATGGTGTTCTTAATTGGGTAGTGAGACATCTGCAGGAAAACAACAAGCTCAGGGGTCAACAAGAACCCCACCACCAAGTCGTTTCAACACCTAACGTTCACCCAGCATTTGGGTTTACTTGGCTTTAACATCTGGATTTACTTGGCCTTCTGGATTTGAATCCCAGAAGGGTAGGGCTAGCTGATGAGAGCTAAATAGCTTGAAATAGATCTAGACTAGTCTCCCATTATTTCTTTGTCAGTAAATATAAATTTAACACAAAATAGTTTGTCGCGAAAGTGACTGCCTGCAAAGACCCCTGGATTGGGGCTGAAAGGCAAAACCGAAGCAGTATGCTCCTTCCCATATTTGGGTAGACCAGTTTGCCCTGACAGAAAAAACATTTGGTTCCCGCCTGGACTACTGCAATGCTCTCTACATGGGGCTCCCCCTGGGTTGCACCCGGAGGCTCCAGCTGGTCCAGAATGCGGCCGTACGGGAATTATGGGAGCGACGGGGCGCTCCCATGTGACACCTCTCCTGCGTGAGCTGCACTGGCTCCCGGTGGTCTTCTGGGTGCGCTTCAAGGTGTTGGTGACCACCTTTAAAGCGCTCCATGGCTTAGGGCCGGGGTATCTACGAGACCGCCTTCTGCCACCAATAGCCTCCCACCGGCCAGTACGCTCGCACAGAGAGGGCCTCCTCAGGGTGCCGTCCGCCAGACAGTGTCGGCTGGCGACCCCCAGGCGGAGGGCCTTCTCGTGGCGGCGCCCGCCCTCTAGAACAACCTCCCCCGAGAGATACGTACAATACCAGACCTCTGGACTTTTCGTCGGGCCCTGAAAACTTATTTATTTCACCTAGCCGGGCTGGCTTGATCCCACAGTTTTGGTTAAATTTAATTGATTTTAATTGGGTTGTTTTAAATTGCGGCCAAAAATATTTAATTATTTTTAAACTGTTTTTAAATTTTGTATGTTCTGGTTTATTCTGGCTGTTCACCGCCCTGAGTCCTGCTGGAGAAGGGCGGTATACAAATTAAAGCTAAATAAATAAATAAATAAATAAAATAAATAACCTTGCTTAATTTTTTGTGTGTGGTGGTTTCCTGTGTTGTGCCTCCATTTGATGCAGGGTATTGCTCATGTCCATAAAAATGGGCTACTCTGTGTTCAGCGTATGGTGGGAAAACAGTACTCTCTGTCCAGTTGGTCTCTCCCCCCCCCACGCTTAAATGAAACATCTTTTCTTTTTCTTTCCTTGAGAGTTACAAAAATGTTTGGCTGCCTGCAGCCAGGCCTGGCACTGGACTTTCTCAAAAGGAGATGGAAAAGGAGGGAGTAAGGCAGGACGGACAACTGCTGAGCCTTCCAAAAAGACATTTGGGACATTGAAGTAAAGTTCATCAAGCTACGGAACTCTGGATCCGTGCCTGAGGGTCTAATGGCACCCTCTTGGCGTGGTTCGAACCCAAAAGCTGCGGTGGAAAACAGACTTGGGTAACAGATCGTACGATGAATAGAATAGAATAGAATAGAATAGAATAGAATAGAATAGAATAGAATAGAATAGAATAATAGAGTTGGAAGGGACCTTGGAGGTCTTCTAGTCCAACCCCCTGCTTAGGCAGGAAGCCAGTGGTGGGATTCAAATAATTTAACGACTGATTTTCTGCCCTAATGACCGGTTGGGTGGGCGTGGCCATGGTGGGCATGGCCAGGGGGTGTGACAGGCAGCACTCGGCCTCCTGCACCCCCCTGGGAGCAAAAACGGGCTGCGAGGTACCTGTGCCGCACCCCCCATGCCCCGTTTTGGGCCTAGTAGGCCTCCCTGCAGCCTCCTGGGAGCAAAAATGGCCACGGAGGGGCCGAGCTGCATCCCCACACCCCATTTTGGGCCTAGTAGGCTCCCTGGAAACCTCCTGGGAGCAAAAACGGCCACGTGTTCTGTCCCTGTCCCACACGCACACACACCAACAGACGTCCAAGAATTAACAACCAAACCAGCTGACAAAATCCTTTTCCTTATGATAACGGAACTTGGCAGCAACCTAGTGGCTGCCTGCCAAGAGTTTATTACTCACGAAGGGAAGAGATAACTTCTCTCCGCTTCTGGTACATCAAAGTAAAATGTTCAATAATTACAGAGTAAATTAAGTCCAAATATAATCCAGCAAAGTCTATAGCAAAAGTCCGGCAATGCAGAATGGCGTGGAAGCTTTCAGCTTTGTTCGTCACAAGGCTTGACTGGCCACCACGGTCCCTTTTATACCCTGTGGGGTGTGGTCCAGTGACTCAGCCTAATCTCTGGCATGCCTTTTCTTCTGTTGCGCGTGCTTATCTCTGTGACGCTGTCGAGGATCCAGCCAAGACTCATTACTCTCATCACTGTCCACCTGTGGCTGCATGGACGTGCTTGGCCCCGGCCCTATCTCTTGCCCTTCGGCGGACACCGAAGGCATTGCCAAAGAGGAGGGTCCTGGAGAGGGAGGCCTTGCCAACTCCTCTCCTTCACTCTTGGAGTCCTCTCCTGCCGATGACACAGGCTCAGGTAACGGAGCCACAACACCATGGAGGAGGGGGGAGGATTGACTCCTGGAAGGGGTGGGGCCAAACAGCAATTTAACAACCAGTTTGACCGAAGTGGTGCGAACCGGTTGAATCCCACCACTGCAGGAAGCCCTATACAATTTCCGACAAATGGTTATCCAATCTCTTCTTAAAAACTTCAAGTGTTGGAGCATTTACAACGTCTGGAGAGAACTGGGAATGTCTTAGCTAAACAAAGGGAAGCACTGGAGACGGGGTTGGACACATCCTAGAGTCTTCCAATATTTGAGGGGCTGTCACAGAGAAGAGGGGATCGACTTATTCTTCAAAGCCCCTAAAGCCAAGACGAGAAGTAACAGGGGAGAGACCCAACCTAGAACTAAGGTGAAAATGTTTGAGAGCGAGAAGAATTCATCCATAGAAGAGCTTGCCTCTTGGAGTTGTGGTTGCTCCATCACAGGAGATTTTCAAGGACAGACTGGACAGCCGTTTGAAAGAGCCGAGGTGGCGCAGTGATTAGAGTGCAGTACTGCAGCTACTTCAGCTGACGGCTAGTTCAGCATATCAGCAGATCAAATCTCACCGGCTCAAGCTTGACTCAGCCTTCCCATCCTTCCGAGGTGGGTAAAATGAGGACCCAGATTGTTGGGGGCAATATGCTAATGCAATATGCTAATATGCAATATGCTATATGCTAACTTTGAAAACCGCTTAGAGAGGGCTGTAAACCACTATGAAGCGGTATAGAAGTCTAAATAAAAATAAAATAAAATAAAAATACATGTGACTGATACGCCACTCTCTGAGCAGTTTACTATGGAGGAAGAGGCAGTGGTGAAATCCAAATTTTTTTACTACCGGTTATGTGGGCGTGGCTTGGTGGGCATGGCAGGGGAAGGATACTACAAAAATTTCCATTCCCTCCCTACTCCTGGGGGAAAGATATTGCAAAATCCCCATTCCTACCCCACTCCTGGGGGGAAGGATATTGCAAAATCTCCATTCCCACCCCACTCCTGGGGGGAAGGATATTGCAAAATCTCCATTCCCACCCCACTCTGGGGCCAGCCAGAGGTGGCATTTGCCGGTTCTCCGAAATACTCAAAATTTCCACTACCCGGTTCTCCAGAACCTGTTAGAACCTGCTGGATTTCAACCCTGAGTGGACCACCTCACTATCGGTTGTCCGAATTGCTCAAAATTTCCGGCTACCGGTTTAAGTTTAAGTTTATTAAATTTCTCCAGAACCTGTCAGAGCCTGCTGGATTTCACCCCTGGGAAGAGGACTTGAGATGCAAGAGAAAAAAACCCAACAAAACCTCTTCAGCAGAGCCACCTCAAAAAAGGAGAAAGGCAAAAAAATAATATATAAAATCTCAGAAAGAAAAGTGAACCAGCTGGGATTTGGCTGTTTTTCTCCTTTCTACCCAGCTCTCTTTTTTTTTAGCCTGGCTTTTCTGGTCCTTGGGCCAAATTTCTGCTTGCTAAAACAACTCAGGGCGGCACTAATTCAGTCCAAAAGGGAGCTCCAAATGCGAAGGAATGTAACACAGCCAGCCCTCTCTGCCCCCATCCAACCTCTAATGCCTCGTCCA